GTTGATTTTGTTTTGCGTTAAAGATGGCAAGACCAACTAGAAGACTTGCTTCAAATCCTCCTCTGCCTTATGTGAACCAAATGACTCACTCTATGGAAGACATGACAGCTGCCGTGAGGCAAAGTCTGAATATGGTTCAATAGCAGTAAGTTGCGAGCGAAGCAGCCGCTGCAGCTCAGGCAGCAGCAACAGCTTCTGCCGTAGCAGTACCACCACTTGAGTATTAGGGGCTATCAGAGTTTAGGAAGTGTGAACCCCTCAATTCACTGGAATTGATGGACCAGATGCAGCTGAACTTTGGATCTGAGAGATTGAGAAAATATTTGTTATTATGGGGTGTACTGAGGATAGAAAAGTTGTTTATGCAACATATATGCTAGTAGGAAATGCATATAGATGTGGCGGCAAGGGGCTCATATTATGTTAGAGGCACGAGGAGAAGCCATTACGTGGGAGGTATTTAAGAGTAGCTTCCTAGGAAAGTTCTTTCCACCTCACGTCCGTGCTACGAGGGAAAGGGAGTTCCTGAGTTTGGTACAAGGAAACTTATTTGTATATGAATATGCTATTCAATTTGAACGGCTTTATCGATTTTATTCGCATCCAACTTTTGAAAAGTGAAGATGTCAAAGGTTTTCTGATGGGTTGAGAACTGATATAAGGAAAACTTTGATTCCGTTGAGGATTACAGAATTTGCCGATTTAGTGGATCAAGCCACCATCATTGAAAGCCTTAACTTAGAGAATGCTGGTGGAGTAGGGAAAGCTCAGTCTAACAGACAAGCCAGTAGTTATGAAGGAAATAAGGGTGCTAGACCCTTATAGCAGACCATATCATCAGCAGCAATTTTGACCTTTCCAGTCTAAGGGAGCGACGTCATCAGCTCCTAGACCAGTGGGTACTGCCACCTCTGCTCCTCAGCCTAGGTGAGAAAGTGCTCCATCTTTTAAAGCTCCAACCCCTACGACAGTGAGATGCTTTAAGTGTGGAGGACCACACTATCTGAATCAATGTCAGCAGGCTGATACGAGGGTCTGTTTTTCGTGCCAACAGTCAGGGCATTCGGCTAAGGATTGCCCTATTTTCCACAGTGGAGCAGCATCGTCCACTGCTAGTGCTTTACATGCTATGAGACCCAGAGCAATTAGGGCTCCACAAGTGACTAGGCCTAGAGTTGAGGGTCGTGTATTTACTGTTTATGGGACAAAAGCTACTCAAGCTACTGATCTTGTTTAAGGGACATGAGTTGTGGCAGGTACATCCTTTTCTGTGCCTTTTGATTCTGGAGCCACGCACTCCTTCATTACGGATGCTTATGTGAAAGATTTGAAATTGTCTGTTAGTGATTTAAGATGTGATTTAGTGGTGACGACACCTATATTGAATTCGGTAACAACTTCAACAGTTTTGTATTGGATGCCCTATAGTATTTAAGGGACGTGAGTATAGGGTTAATCTTATTAGTATCTCTATGTTGGGCTTGGATGTAATTTTGGACATGGATTGACTGACTGCCAATCATGTTACGATTGATTGTGCCTAGCGACGTTTAATTTTCTCTGAACAGCAGGACCTATCGAAAATGATTCCGATGAGCCAAGTGGAGGTAGCTCTTGAGAAGGGAGCGTCATATTTTGTCCTTTTAGCTATTATGAGTGTAGAGCAGGAACAGGAACTTCAATTAATACCGGTGGTGCAAGATTTTCCTGAAATCTTTCCTGATGATGTTCCTGGAATACCTTCACCTAGAGAAATCGAGTTTAGCATCGACTTAATACCTGGAGCTGAGTCAGTATCTATAGCACCTTATCAGATGGCGCCGAAAGAGCTAATGGAGTTGAAAGGCCAAATTAAGGATTTACTACAGAAAAAGATGATTAGGTCGAGTGTATCACCTTAGGGAGCACCGGTCCTTTTGTTGAAAAAGAAAGATGGAAGTTCTAGACTTTGTGTAGATTACCGTCGACTGAACAATGCTAACCATTAAGAATAAATATCCATTGCTGCAGATTGATGATCTGATGGACCAGCTGAAAGGCGCTAAGCTATTCTCCAAGATTGATTTAAAGTCTGGATATCATTAAATCCGAGTTAAGAATGAGGATATTCTAAAGACAACTTTTCGTACTCGGTATGGGCATTATGAGTATGTAGTGATGTCTTTTGGAGTTACTAATGCCCCAACAATATTTATGGACTACATGAATATGATCTTTAGACCTTTTTTGGATCGGTTCGTAGTGGTGTTCATTGAGGATATGCATTTTTGTTGTGTTGGTATGTATGTGCTGCAATGATCATATGATAGTACATTAGTAGAAGGTACAGGGAATGTATCAACTTTTCAAGCTGGAAGGTCTAGTTGAGAGACATTGAAGTTAGCAATTTTTGGGAAGAGAATGGAGTTAATCATTTTGTTGGTCTAGGTCTAGTTTGTTGGGTTACTAATTTGTCAATGAATGTAATTATGTGTCAAACACTTGTATTTTGAGACTCTCACTGAATTATTATGTTGTAAATACATATAAATTTTATGTAAATTTTGGTGTTACATGGAAATATCCAAAAAGTTTTGTTATTTTGTTAATGTGAATGCCGAAGTTCAATTTGTTATAAGTTTATGCTTTTAAACTTATGTATATAATATTAACTAAATGAATAAATAAATTGAGAATGATAATGCGGAATGTCACTGATTCTTTATAAAAATAGGTCATGACACATCTGGATGTGGTGGGTGAGTATAAGTTTATGCTTTTAAACTCATGTATATAATATTAACTAAATGAATAAATAAATTGAGAATGATAATGCAGAATGTCACTGATTCTTTATAAAAAGAGGTCGTGACACATCTGGATGTGGTGGGTGAGTATACTAATTGAAATTTTTTGCATACACAAAAACTTAAACGCAAAACCTTGCTTAAGCGATACCGTGCTGCTTGTCACTCGAACCAACTTTCGTTGATTTTTTTATGGTATTTCTACCATGCATTTTAATTGTTAACATGAGTTGTATCTCATTATTTTCATATAACAATGGTGGAGTGTAACTTTCATCATTATTTCGATGGAAAGCTAATCCATGCATAAAATAGGACAATGATTGATTGCAAATAACTTAAAATATATTGATATTAGATATCAAATTTGAATAATTATATTATTTAATAATTTTTTATATAATATAAGATTAATCAAATTAATTATTTTAGTTTAAAATTTTTTTATCAAATAGATCATCTTTTAAAAAAATTATATAAAAATAAATAAATAATTACTCTATCATTTTTTAATGCATTATATATTTTTATAATATAATAAATAAATGTTACATTTTGAATAACATATTTATAAATATTTAAATCATGTAAAATTTGAAATTCATGATCACAAAAATAATATAAAATAATTTATAATATATTCTTAGGATATTTCTATCATGCTTTTTAATTATTAACATGAGTTGTATTTCACTATTTTCTTATAACAATGGTGGAGTATAACTTTCATCACCATTTCTATGGAACGTTAATTTGTGCATACAAAACAATGACTGATTGCAAATAAGTTAAGACTTATTATATTAGGTGTCAAATTTGAATGCGTATACTATTTCATAAAATATAAAATTAATTAAACTAATCATTATTGTTCAATTTTTTTTTATCAAAGAGATTAACTTTAAAAAATATATAAAAATAAAATAAATAGTTACTCTATATTTTTTTAATGTGTTATATATTTTCATAATATAACAAGTAAATATTATATTTTAAATAACATATTTATAAATACCTAAATTATGTAAAATTTAAGATACATAATTAAAGATAATATAAAATAATTTAACAGTTAAATTAGTTAATCCTACATTTTATAAAAATTTATTTAAGTAGTGTAAGTATTTAAATTCAATGTAAGATATTAATGAAACCTTATTCATTACAAATTATCGTACATGTTAATATAAGAGAACTTATGCTCCGAAAATTTTAGCATACTTAGCACTGCGTTATTATTATTATTATTATTATTATTATTATTATTATTATTATTATTATTATTATTGCTATTTAGTAGTCTTAGAACATTAGTTAAAAAATTTAAAACATTTTTTTATTAAAAATTATGCAAAAAGTGCATCAATAATTTTTGCTACAAATTTTTTTATATTTTTTATTCTTTAATAATACTCTTAAGACATTGATTAATAATTGTATTTTTTTTAAACTATTACTATTATTTTAGTTCCAAAAAATGAATATTGGTTGTTGCAATTTGCACACACTATTGAGATGGATGTTCTTGTGATTAACATAATTTTCAACGATTTAATTGTTTCAACTATTACAAGTTGATATTATATATAGGATGTTGTATACAAACATTTTTATTTCTCATTCACACATTTTAGTGCACTAAATTTTGTGATATCTTGTTTTTAAAAGCTTATTATACGTATATTGTTATTATACTCTATTAAGTATTTTTAAGAAATTGAAAAAAAATAATTTCGAAATACGTACTCAACATATGTAAAAGTACTATATACATATCAATTATTTGGGTAGTTGACACATTGTTTCCTGGTCCTACTGGACACGTTCAATTTAATAGCACTTATTGCTTTGTTTTACTAAGTCAAAAATTGGCAACTACCTATGCAACGGGAGCAATCCATGTATCAACAAAGTAGTAAAGTGCTCATAACAACCACGTTAAATCATTCACACACTCTTTCGGTTTAAAATATATATACGAGTAATTTACCCTGGTGATAAGATCCCTAGGCAACAGAAAGTTTCATATGGGAACATATATATTCCGAATTCGGTTCATATAATAGTAGTTTATCACGAAAAATAAAGTTACACGTTTATAATTAGATCAATTATTTTTATACTATCACGTTGGTAATGAGAGGGATATGCTTCTTACATTCGCTATAAATAATAACCAATGAACCACATTTATTACCACAAACATTACACAATCTCCTTTTTTCTCTTATATAAACACAACAATGGGGAATCAATGCTTTTCTGACAAGAAAGAATCTCTTCCAATCAACACCACATTCAAGCTTCCTGCTAATATACCAGTTTGGCCACAAGGTTCACATTTTATGTAGTCCAATCCTTCTTAATTAGTTAATATCATAGTGCTAATTATTAATCACCTGTAGTAATTATATGTTTCTTATAATGGTCTTTGAATTATAATTTACATGTAGGTGGTGGATTTGCTTCTGGAATCATTGATCTAGGAGGGTTAAAAGTCTCTCAAATTTCAACATTTAACAAAGTGTGGACAACCTTAGAAGGTGGACCAGGTAATGCAGGAGCTACTTTCTTTGAGCCAGCAGGAATACCTGAAGGGTTCTTCACATTAGGCCACTACAGCCAACCCAACAACAAACCACTTTTTGGATGTGTTTTGGTGGCAAAAGATGAGTCTTCATCTGAAAAAGGGGTTTTGGAGAAACCACTTGATTACACACTTGTTTGGAGCAGCAAGTCCCAAAAGATTAAGCAAGACAAAGATGGCTATGTTTGGTTACCAATAGCACCTGATGGCTATAAGGCCTTAGGCCATGTTGTCACAACCACACCTGAGAAACCTTCCCTCGATAAAATTAGGTGTGTGAGGTCAGATTTCACAGACCAATGTGAGAAACACTCATGGATTTGGGGACCAAGCAAGAGTGACGATGATGATAAAGGTTTCAATGTGCATGAAGTAAGGCCAAGCAATAGAGGCATTCAAGCACCTGGTGTTATTGTAGGAACATTTTTGGCCCATAATGGTGGCACTCCTAGCCCTCTCCCTATTGCTTGTTTGAAGAATACCGACATGAACTATTCATCCATGCCTAATCTACCTCAAATTCAGGCACTACTCCAAGCTTATTCTCCATTCATGTACTTGCATCCTGATGAAAAGTTCCAACCAGCTTCTACTAAATGGTATTTCACCAATGGGGCATTGCTTTTCAAGAAAGGGGAAGAGTCCAAACCACTGGCAATAGACCCAACAGGCTCTAACCTCCCTCAGGGTGGGGGCAATGATGGTGCCTATTGGTTGGACCTTCCTTCTGACAAAGCCAACAAAGAGAAGGTCAAGAAAGGGGATTTCAAGAGTTCTCAAGCTTATGTTCATGCCAAGCCCATGTTTGGTGGATCTTTCACTGACCTTGCCATGTGGGTTTTCTACCCCTTTAATGGGCCTGGAACAGCCAAAGTTGGGCTCATAGATGTTCCACTGGGGAAAATAGGAGAACATGTTGGGGATTGGGAACATGTCACACTAAGGGTAAGCAACTTCAATGGAGAGCTAAAAAAGGTTTATTTCTCACAACATAGTAAGGGTCAGTGGGTTGATGCTTCTCAACTTGAGTTCCAAAATGGAAACAAACTTGTGGCTTATTCTTCCTTGAATGGTCATGCCATTTATCCAAAATCAGGACTTGTTCTTCAAGGCCTTAGTGAGGTTGGAATAAGGAATGAAACTGAAAAGAGTGACATGGTGATTGATATGGGGGTGGATGTTGAAATTGTTTCTGGGGAGTATTTGGGATCCGCAGTTGTAGAACCACCATGGCTAAACTATTTCAGGCAATGGGGTCCAAAAATCACCTATAACATAGCTGAGGAATTAGACAAATTGGAAAAGGTGTTCCCTGCTTTGCAAGTGCTTGAAGATGGTTTACCAAATGAGCTGTTTGGAGAGGAAGGACCCACAGGACCTAAGCTCAAAGGAAGTTGGAGTGGTGATGAAGTTTGACTTTTGAAAATCTTGGTGCCATTATTGAGACCAAGCAATTAAAAAAAAAAAAGAGATAGAGACTTTGGTTTATTAATTATTACGTGTATTTATATGTTTTCTTGATGTATCTATAGTTATCTACATTATTTTGAGGCTCCCTCAAGCATGTGTTGCTTAGTCATAGCTTACAAAATTTGTTTGTTTGAATTTGCACAACTACATGCATGTGGTATTTTTCTTCTGTTGTTAGGTGGAAAAGACAGAAGTAAAAGAAAATGTTTTTTGTGTGCACTTGGCTTGGCTTATACGATTGTGCCCATTAACTTATTGAATCTGTTAACAAGTAATTATTATTTTAAATATAAATATTCGTGTAGAATAAAAATTTATATAATTTGAAATTAATTAGTTTAGTGTGCATAGTTTTTGTGCTTCAAATATATTTCATAATTTCTCTATTGAAAAAAAGCTTGTGTGAACTATTTGTATCTTTTTTTCGTAAAAAAAAAGGAAATGAAAAGAACAACGTGTGAAAGTAAGCAAGTAAACAAGAGGTTGATATTTAATACAAGTATTGAGTTTGAAAGGTCAAGGGAGATAGATGCACGCCATTTCAATGGGTCGGTAGCCAAAATTAAAGAGATATTAAAGAGATTACTTCTCGTGTTTAAAAGAAAATGATTGTATTATAGTCAGAGTTCAGGTTAGAATTTGATAATTTTAAATAATACGAAAGTATTAATTTGGCAAAATATTATTTAAGAAACGCTTGGCGTGATTTGGGTAAATTTTTTATTTTCTAAATTTTTGTTTATACCACTGCATGAATTCGTTAAATTTTCGTATGTAAATTTTTCATGTATTTAGCAATCCACTTTAGAAGCAAAAATGTCACCCTAGAATGTGTCAGGTCATTAGATTTATCTCCGAATTCACAAAGAATCATTTCAGATTCAGTACCCCTTTTATATGCGTATATGTATGCAGTTTCAATAATTAAATCTGCTTTGTTTATTGTATAATTAAGGCATACAATGAGGCTTTTAGTTAAAGAGAGATCTTTGTCAATGGATTTTCGTTAGTTCTATCCGGGCTTATGATATAAAATTTTAAGAGTATTTGATCGTAGAACAGGTAACGTTTTCATTCGTACTTAACATTGATAATCTCTCTTTTAAGCATGAGTACCTTTTACTAGATATGTGTTTTTTCCAGTAAAAGCTTTTTATTTCTATCTCGAGTATTTGTAGTAACATAAGTACTAAAGTTCTGCTTACTAATATTCTTTCAAAAAGACTTTTGATATAATAGTTATTTTATAAGAATTTATCACCAATTCTACTATGTAAGAGGGCTTATAATACTTCAAAGATCTCAATCAATATCACAAGCAAATCGTACCAATAAATTTGAATACTATATACAATTCAAAAATTTAACACTATCAGGTCATTAGTCATTGTTATTTATATGTTAAAATTTTTCATCTCTATCCAATGCTAGTCAAGTATTATTTAAAAATTATAAGATAGAAAAATAAAAAAACATATAAATACAAGAATTTATTTTGTATTTATTCAGTATAATAACAACATGTAGTCTTTTTGAGTGTATTGAGGATTTGGGTCACTGTGTTAAATGAGATTTTATAATTTTGTCCGTTCAAAAATTGAGTATAGCTAGTAAAAATTATAAAATTATGTTAACAATTTGGAAATACAAACAAGAAGAAATAATTGATTTTAAGGTATATTTTTTTCCTTTTATTTTCTTTTTCTTTTTCCATGGTGCTTCTAGTATAGAAAATCCATAAAATAGAATCGTACGAGAGATTAGATTATTCGAATTGTGGGGGTTCCGACAGTGGGTTATCTTTTTCGACGTGTTGTTATAAGTAGATTTCAATGTCTAATATGAGTAAGGGATGAAAGCGTGAGACTCAACATCCAAGTTGATAGGCATTAGCACTGAAGATGAGGTTGCTCGTAGCCGAATAGTTAGCCGTTAATATTTTCTTTGATCACTCTTTTTATTTTTTTTAAATTAATCAGCAAAAAAAATAATTAATAAGGTACCAGAAAGTACCCAAACCTATGTACAAGGTTCAAAATAACTACAAATCTTTAGGAACATTAATGGTTCCTCAAACCATTCAAAGAAATAAATTTTTTTAATAAATTCTGTGTTACTCATAAAAAATTTTTAGAGTACCATACATAAAAAAATATTTAAACACATATTTAAATAATAAATTTATTTAATAATAAATTATTATATTTATTATATTTGAATAAATTAAAGAATATTTAAATTAAAATTTAAAAATAAAATAATATTATTATATTGATATATTTTTTATATTTAATTATTAAATTAATATATTATTTATAATTCTTTTTATTTATAATAAATAAAAATTACTTAAATATAAATTATATTTATTTGAAACTATAAATTTATAAAAAAATAGAAAAATAAAATAAAAAATTTAATATAAAATATATATATATATATATATATATATATAATATAGAACTATGTAGTAAATAATATAATTTTAAATAATTTATATATAATAATATTTTTTTAATTTGTCACGTTTTTTTTTTATTGATATAAATTTTTTAGGTATGGTATTCATACAAAAATTTTAAAGTACGAAAGCACACATTAAATTTTTTTTTTCCCTTATAACTAATCTAAGCCAAGTTCATGATCTTAATTTAACCAACTCTATGTTAAACCTTCAAAGCTATTATTCTCATTTCTAAACACTATTATTTCTGTGTTTTCACAATAGCATATAATGCCAAACCACACGACCCACTAAGCACACTTAGATTTCCTACCTGAGAATAGGTCCCTATGTTGTATGTAGTTAATCTTGAATTCTGAATGAATGAGTACTCAGAAATCCAATTACATAAAACATTCCACCCAAATAGAATATGAGAACTTACAAGTAAAGAAGAGATGCACCATTGTTTCTACCTTGAAGCGACATAAAACACACTTGATGTTGTTGTTGTTGTTGTTTTGGATTGAAATTCCTCTTTTTATCAAATTCTGTTTGGTTGGAATTCTACCCAGAACAGTTTTTCATGAAAAGAAAAATCCTTATAAGATTATTTGGCCTATATATGAAATTAGGCTGAATCCACATTTTGTATATTCCTAGAACATCTATATTTTTATATTATAAAAATTGGTTCATTGTTTAAACTACGTTATTTACCCTTTTAGGATTCTTGTTATTGTTAATTTGTACTAACAAATCATGCGTGTGCTTAGTATTTTATGAGTATTCTAAAATAAAACAACAATATTATAAAAATTAATTTTAAAATTAAATTGTTCTTGCATAGGAATTGTTTTAACGTAGTTTATGGAAATCCGTATTGACATACGACACTTAAACATAGCAAACTACATCATTAATGTCGTAGTCCAACGTGTGTATTAAAAAATGAATTTATAAAGCAATTAAAAGCTCAATTTGATAAACAAAATTATCTTTTTAAAATAATTCAAATTACGCAAAGTATAACATATACGAAAGTATTTAAACAAGGTAAATATATTAATTTTAAATTATGAAAAATACTTAACTTATTTATAAATTTATTTATTTATTAAAAAAAAATTTAGGGTGCCATAAATTATTTTTAGACCATAATAGCAAAAGAGATAAAAAAGAATAAAAAAAATTGGGGGTGAGCACGACACTTGTTCACCCCTTCCATCTGCCACTAGTGTTTAAATGTGGCTTCTACTTGGTATATTTTAAACCAAAAAATGGTATATTTTCATATTAGACAGAGTTGAGGAAGATATGGTCTAATTTGGGTAAAAAAATTTAGAATATTTTTTACAGGAGAAAAAATAAATATAAAAAATAATAAATATTATCTCGTAAATTAAAAATATTTTCTTCTTCTATTAAAAATTTCTTTAGAAGTTTATTTAAATTTGACCTGATTATTGGGTTTAATCAAAATTAGATCCTGAAGTTAGATAAAAGCAAAAATTGATGGTCTTTTCTTTTTATGATTGATTTTGCAATCCAACATTCTGTTTGTTTATGCTTCTTCTTTATTTTTTTTTTCAATGTATTGAATTATATCTATGGGTTGGGCATCCCTTTTCTTAAAAAATATAGTTGTTAATATACATTCAAAATTCAATAATTAATAAATATTTACAAAAAAAATATAAATAAAAAATTAAATTATTAATTAATTTATCAATTTATAATATATATATATATATATAATGTATTGTATTAGTAATATTTTTTATATTATATTAATATTATAGTGTAGTTAATTTTATGTATATTTATTAACTTAAAATAAAAATTAATAAAATAAATAAAATAAAATATTTTATAATTATTTTTAATTTAATAGTTATTATTATTTTTATTATATATATATATATATATATTAAGTTTTATTACATATTTTTTTTATTAAGATAAAAGTTTAGAAATATAAGTTATTTTAATTTAAATATAAATTTTATTAATTCTTACTATACTCATATGTTATTTTTCTACATCATTGAATTTTATAATATAAATATTTTTTATCTATAATTTTTACAATAACTATTTATTTACTTTTTTAAATATAATAATTTTTTTAACTGAATCAACAAATTTTATGAGTATTATTTTTTGTTATCAATTTTATGTATTTACTGTAATTTTATTTATTAAATATAAGATGTCTTTAAACAAACAAAATATAATTATCATTAAAAAATAATTAAAATTTTTAATACTTTAATTATAGTTATTAACATACATTTGAAATTCAATAATTCACAAATATTTATATAAATAAAAAATTAAATTATTAGATAATTTATCAATTTATATTTTATATATAAGTATATATTTTAATTTATTGTATCAGTAATATTTTTTATATTATATTAATGTTATAGTATTGTTAATTTTACGTGTATTTGTTAATTTAAAATAACAAATTAATGAAATAAATAAAATTAAATATTTTATATTTTTTTTAATTTAATAGTTATTATTATTGTCATTATATATATATATATATATATATATTACATTGAATTTAAATTTATTTATTTTTTAAAATATAATAATTTTCTTTCAACTGATTCAACAAATTGTGTGAATGTTATTTTTTGGGATCAATTTTATGTATTTACTATGACTTTATTTATTAAATATATAATGTCTTTAAACAAATAAAATATGATTAAAAAAACTAAAATCTTTAATAATTTAATAATTTTTAAAAATAAATAAAAAATATAAATAAAATTTTATTTAATATAAAACATTTATAATTAGTGTTCAAATAATATTTTAAAAATTATTATAATTATTTAATAATTATCAATAACATAGATGAAAAGTAGAAAAATATGTAAACTAATTTGATAATAAAATATTTATATTTTCATTAATATTAAGATTTTTTTTATAATATGCTTTGTTAACAGGCTTCAGACTAGGTCAGGTCAAGATGAAAATAAAGTCTTTAATAGGTAACAAGTCAGACTCAAGCTTAATAATTATGTTACAGGTCAGGCTTGTTTAAAGTAAAGCCAGGTCTAGCCTGTTTCCACCCCTAATCGTAATGTAATGTATTATATGGTCAATTATTTAACTTATCTCTTTTTAGAAAAAAAAAATTGCTTAATGCATTTAAGGTTAGCACATTTATGTAAATTTGAGGAGCTTAGTTATACTTTCCAAGTATGCGGGAGTTGATGTTTCTTCATGGTTTTATCTCCTACGGAAAAAACCTACATTGCTTGAGTACAAAGTAAAGGCATATAAAGGCACTGATTATCAACATTGGAATTAATTAACTAATTAATTTATCCATCATCACAATTGACTGGAAACAACAATCTCGGAGCAAGCTTTCCTCAAATTCCTTACATTTGGCAAATGTACTCAGCATGTATTAAGGTTTTTGGTCTCCAAATTTCAAGTCACATTGGACAGTACTTGGAAATAGAGGCAACTTAAAAGCCAACTTGACCGAAAGAAGAGAGAGGAGAAAAAAAATCTTAAGGCAAATGATTAAGATAATCAATGCAAAACTACTATAACCCCTTTCTTAATCAAAAGCTGTTTCCTTGTCTTGTTCCTTTTGCTTTTCACTAAAGCATACTCTTATAATATAATATAATATTTTATTAAACCCCCCAACATATCATTTTCAATTCAATAAATTGTATCCTCTAATTGGCTAACAACTAGGCAAGGTTTGCGGTGTTACAAAGTGATTCAAGACATTACATAGATACAGTTAGGGCTAGATGTTTGCCTGTTTCTTTGTTTGGTCTCTTTTTTGCTAAAAAACAAAGAGCACAAAAGAGTGAATGTTTCTTGCCTGCTTATCCTATGGCTGATTTTCCTAATAATAAGTGTTTGTGAGGGGTAAGGGAAGAAGGTGTGGGGACAAAAGAAGCTTCTGTGCTTTACTTTGTTAGAGTTATTGGGAATTTTTTACGAGACCCAAAGCTGTGAATGGGATAGTAAAACACAAAGTGCTTGAATTGAACTGATAATGATTTACATGTGCATGGAAGAACGTGCATGCTTGACTGCACAACTACCTTATGTTAATTTAGAAAGAAAATTGTCAGTTATATATAAGATCGGTTTCCTAAATCAATATGGAATGCATGCTTTGAAATAGTAACACTAACACCCCCTCCATTTCAAATAACATTTTCCTTTTAAGATCAATATTACACCCATTTTAAAAGAAAACTATTAATTATACGAGTTACTTTGTAAAAATAAAAAGTTAGCATATAATTATAAATTATTTAAATAAAATATTAATAACTAAAAATATTAACAAAAATAAATAATGCATTTGTTAATTTTCTAAAATAACTAATATATCAAAACAAATAAAAAAAAACTTAAAGTCTCGAGTTTTTTTTTTTTTGGTTACAAAAGTAAAACAAGTTCCAGAAAATTTGAAATGTAAGAAATAAAATTTAAAAAAAAATACATTTGCTGATGTATCATCTTTCAGCTTTAAATGTTAAGACTTATAACTTTGTGACATAAAGATAGAAGCTTCCTCGATATGTGCACGCATGGAAGTGCGTTGTATTCTTCCTACCCTTTAGGCTTTATTAGCTTTTCCTCTCTCTCTCTCTCTCTGAGTACTACACTAGTGGAGTAAGGGAGCTTTCTTGCCAACTTGCAGGTGCATAAAATTTCTCTGCAACCAATAAAGGTTGTGGCGCCACCCTTTTTTTATCCTTAGGAAAGAGAAGCTTCATGGTCATGGATCCACTCTCACATAGTCACATTGTAAATATATATGATATAAAGAGAGACACTAAGAGGAATGGAGACAGGGAGAAGGTTTGTGCATGTGTGTGTGCTTGTGTATATGTGGATTATACTTCTTTTAAAGCAAGTATTAACACGCTGTAAGGCATGGCTACTTATAGGGTCTTCATAAATCTATGAAGAAAATGTACCAAAAGATTACTACACATTGTCTAAAGCAGCAACAGCAGCAAAAGGATTGTCCCTCTTTTTTTCTTTTCTTTCCTCTTTTGGTTACGTAAGAGTTGCACAAACTTAAAATCTCATCTCTTCCTTCTATCGCTTGATCTAACCAAATTAAGTAAAATTTAATTGTGAATTGCATTTTGAGAGGTTAGTTTCACTGATTCAAATTATGATCCGCAACTATAATTACATTAATTGTATCTTCTTATTAATTGTTTTTGTAATATAAAGGGTTTTAAAATCTCTTTCAATTGTGACTATAAATGCAATTTCAATCTTAATTAGTTTCTTAAAAGGACGTTTTCACTGTATCGGGTTGTAAATACTACTTACTTGTAGAACTAATAAAGGTATAGGAGTTCTATTAGATAAAGATAAAAAAAGGTAAAAACTTCCAAGTGAAATCTTCTGCTATAAGATGTACCCTTGTCTTGATCATCTTATTCCCACGGAATATAGAGCAGTAAAGAAGAGGAAAGATAGTGAAAGACAGATACCCTCTGTCGGCTTCAACTCATCCCCATAGGAACTTCAAGGGAAAGATCATCTGGCAGTGTACCTCTATACACTTGAAAATGACACAACATTTTAAAGTTGATTATTCTTTCTTTTACCTTTCTTCCGTTCACTGCTTCATCTTTCTAAAATCCATGTTATATATGCCTGGAGGGCCAGATTTGTCTTTAATTCATTAAAAAAATAAAATACAAATAAAAAACCAATTTGGGTTGTTATTCAATTTTCCCGAGAGAGATTTGCTTCAATCATTGAGTAACTAACTTGTACCAACTAACTTAAAATGATTAATGAGTAACCGTTGTATATAAAGGTTAATTGCTGACTTATATAACAAAGTCACCTCAAACACCAAAATAAGTCCAAATAGACATGAAAGTCAAGTTAGATAGAAATTTTTATGAATATAAATTATATATCATAATTTATTGATATCCAAGTGTATATCTAAAGGTTGGAGTACCTACTCTTTCTAATAATATAATGTTTTTGAATGACAAAAAATAACCCATTTAATTAGTAATGTTACTAATATTCCCATTCTTTATGTTTAATTTGGTTTTATTTTTTTAACCCTCTTTGTGTCAAACATCAGTATAAACGTGCCCGTAAATTGCATCCATGATTGATATGATATATGTGCCACTGTCTTGTTACTGCCAAAACTGGATGTAACTTTGATGGACCTTTTCCCTTGGATATTAACGTACCACATATTACCTCTCAAAAAAATTCTAGGAAAATATTGCTTAGTAGTGACGCAGAGAATGTTTCATATGTGATGTCAGACTAAAAAATTAAAAGTGGGTCCAGGAAGGAATAAAATACAAAGAGAAAAACCAGCAATGTGATAAAAAGAAGAAAAGTTTTGCTTGCTTCCAATTTTTCTCATCGATCAGAACAACACAAGCAGATCTAACAATTGATCATCAGCAGATGCAGAAAAATTAATAAAATTTGCTAGATGAATTGAAGGAAAAGGAATGAATTCAACATTAATCCAATCATTAAAGGAATGAAACAATGCTAGATGAAAAAGCTACAGTGAGAATGCTCACATTCAAGCACATTTATACGTGCTTTAATTATATTAGTTAGAATAAGACTTTGGTTTAATTTGCCATGCAGGCATTATACCACATCACAGTACATGAGGGAGGAAATAGCCCTCGTATGAACTGCTAATTTCCAAGACCGAATTCAAAACCCTAGATATCATACTATTTAGAGAGTTTTACATCAAGTCATCAATTACACATAACATAACCAAATGATCTAATTAAAACTATAATTCTCAGTCACCCAAATGGTGAGTTTCTACCTTGGGCCATGGTACCAGTACTGATCATAGGACTCATCCTTTCAGCCTGAAGAGGTGCTCTTCTTGGTGATGGCCTTTCAAGCTTCATAGATGGATCGAATTTTTTATCCCCCACTACAGCTTCACCCTGAAGCACAGGCTTTGAGTCATAGATCTCAGACATGGGATCAATATCGGTACTAGTGCCTCTATCTAATGATGCTGGAGGTGCAATCTGAATTTGATCACCTTTGAAAGGGTCATCTTGAGGACCAAGGCATGATGAGGCTGGCCCCAAATCCTGAAGCCTAAGATCATCACTCCAAATCAAAGGGCTTTTCCCACTCCCACTATAAGGGTTAGGCCTCTTCTTTCCCAAACATAAACTCTCATTAATTGGCATAAACCCATGATCAAGGGATGGCTTCTCCATGTTCTGCTGAAGGTCAATTTGGTCACCTCCATAAATATTGTCAAGATCTTGAAAAGAAGAAAAACCAAGAGGGGAACCAAATTCCTTCATCACTCCCATGTCAGGGATCCCTTGATGAGGTCCAATAGTACCCTTTAAGTTAGTAGCAGCAGATGCCATGTTTTCACCGGCAAGTGTTTGATAAGCCTTCTCCAATATACTTTGCATGTATTTCCCTTGTGCTTCAATCCTTAGCTGAAGGTGTTTCTGAACCTGCCAGATAGATACACCTAAATCCATGTACAGACATGTCCATTGCAGGGAGAGAGTAATCAAAGCGATACAATTGGTGCAAAAGGGTGGTAATGTTTAATTACCTCAAGTTGTTCATGCAATCTTCTCTGCACCTCTATTTGCATCCTAATCGCATCAACCATGTGTGAGTTACTGTTTCATACAGTGTTTCACACATACATTCCACAAGAAAACCCGAATCCCCCCATACCCAAAAAAAAGAATAAAATAAACTTCTTCAAAATCGTTTACATGCATGTTGATTCACAAGAATTTGGATGAAAGAAGTGAGGCATACTCATTCATGTTGCGGCCAATCATGGCAGAAGATGAAGCAGTGTTTCGTTGCAGTTCTAAAGCCGAAGCTGCATGCCAGTACAAAAAGATTTTGTCAATATAAAAAGAACTGTCATGAAGTGTAAAGATCATAAAAGTTCAAACCCAAAAAAAAAAAAGAAAAAAATTGAGGAACCCTAGAAAGAAGAGTCACCTCTCATACCATCCTTAATCGAGTGATCATTGAATTCCTTGTGGGGCTGCTTGCCAAGCCTAAATTTCTATTGAATGCAGACAACAAATAAAAAAAATATAAAGATAAAGGAAGAAAAAAAAAAAAGAAAAGAAAGAGAGAGAGACATTAAGCCAACCTGAGATATTGGCAGTGTCATAAAAGTGTTTCTAAAACAAAAAGCAAAAATTAAAAGCATGAAATATGGGTTTTGTATTAACCAAACCTGAAGGTGGCTCTTGAGGTGGTAAAGGGTAAGACCCTTCACACCCATAACCCTCATGATTGTTTTAGGAGTGGCCTCTGAAAGTTTAAAAGACGTGATCATTAAACAAAAGATCATGGAGATCATCATCATCCAAACATATAGATATAGATATCATAATATGTTCATATATAATATTGTAGAAAATAAAGAAAAGGGTGAGAGAAAAGGGGAGAGAATAGTACTATCAGGCCCTCCAAGCTGAGTAACAGCATCAACAAAGCGTTCATGGAGTTCAACAGTCCAACGAAGGCGAGGCTTTGGGTCAGTGGTGAGGACAAGACCCGAGTCCCCTTGAACACACATGGGTCTGTCATGGGAATTCATAGTTGAGGGCTTCTTGGGAGGGAACATTCTGTCCATCTCTCACTTTCTCTCTCTCTCTCTCTCTCTGATGAGAGGCTCTGAGGAGAATACCAAAGAGATTCAAGAACAAATGCGATGCAAAATAGGGAAGAATAGGGTGCGTTTTGAAGAAGAGAGAGGGGTGTGAACGGCTTTGGTTGCCTCCTCAGGTATAAAGCACAATGGGAAGGAGCCAGCATTACTTAAAAGAATGTATTCAATATATGAAATTTATTAAATTAATAAATATTAAAATAAAGCTACCTATTATTCCAACATGCAGAGTCCTTCCTTTGTCAAAAGACACCTCACTCCCCCCCCCCCTCTCTCTTTCTCTCTCTTCAACCTTGATTACTATATTGAACATGTATATATAATTTATTACATTCCAAATAGAGAGATACCCTTTATTAAATTTTGTAGCATAGATAGTTTTTTTGAGGCATCATGAGGGAGACCCTCATGCAATGATAATGATGGACAATGTTATGGAGTGAAATTTTTTGTCCACTACCTCTTATATGAAATTGAACAAATGTTCTCACTGCATTATGGACATAATCTCATATTTGGCCGTTTATGTATGCATGGGGCATTTCGTGGTACGACACACTTTTTAGCATAATTATTAGTACGAACCCATCTATGACCTATCAGGTACATTGGTAATAATAGAAAGCATTGGCTTTATGTCATTACCATGGAAAAGTTTTCAATCATATATTTGACAGAATTTTTCGTTATTTAGTGGGATAGATCTACGCGGTGAGCACATTGGCATGCGATTCACTGCCCGCGGCTAGTTGATTACCAACTCATTATCTAAAAGATTAACTTCAATAATTTTAAATTAATGTTGCAGGGAAGTCTCAAACAATATCTACAAAACTAAATAACGAGGTTTTCTAATATGGGTATAATAACACAACAAGAATTAATTAATAATAAATTTTCATTAACAAATATAACAGTTACTACAATTAATATATTAAATTTTATAATTTCAATAAAAAATTATTATTCATAAATTGTTATCTTATTCTTAGACACGCTAAAAAATTTACTAAATAACTTGCAGTATGGTTTATATATGCATATAATAATTCGCGTAGTATGTAATGCAATATGACTGTATTAATGAACATTCATGGTACCAAGTAATGATTGCTGTAAACTATCGACACAATAAAGTATAAATTTAAATAATATATATTAAAAGTTTAAAAGATTTTTTATATTTAAGTATAAATTATCCATTTAGCATACATATTATCGTATTCAAACAAATATGTAATAACATTAATTTTGTTCCTTAATAGTTTTTAATAATAATACGTCTAGTCGTTAACTAGTTAATAAAATGATTAGATTTGAGATGCAAGTATAACTCTATCCCACGCAAAATAAAAATGATTAGTTTCGTACCGAATAATAATCTGTGCTTGATTATCCACTTCCACTGAAGATTTTTATTTGTTTTCCCTGTGGACTTATTAATTAATTGCAAGAGCTTTAAGATCGGATCGTGGATCAAGTTGCTCAAAATTCAAGCAGCGATTACTCACTCCACTCCCTCATTAATATTTGGCAAGGATTCGTAAACTATTTACTTTGCTATGTACTCTTCGACATAAGTAATATAAAAGCAAAAGATAAAAATAAAAACAAAAATGGAAAGACAGCAGCAAACCCTTTCCACTTTTCGCTTTTTGTAACCCCCTATATCTCTAACATAGTTTCAATTAATGTCCATTCGTACTCAACTCAAAAATACTTAAATTCGATCGTTCCGCTGTTTTTCGTGTTTTCCCACCAAAATCACAATTTACATATGAATATGTTTAGAAAAACTAATAAATAAGCTAGTTATAAGTTGGGAGTTATAAATTTATAAATTTGTTAATTGAATTAAAAGTTTTTAATAATATTAGTTTATATGTATAAAATATAAGAAAAAAGGTTATGATAATAATATAATAAAGAGAAATATAAAAATAAATTGAGCAACAAACTCATAAGCTTTTATACTACATGAATGAATGTTAAAAAAACCACAATCCAATACTAACTTACTAAAATAAGTTCATTTTTTAAACAAAATTATTTCAATAAAAGAAGTATTTAAGTTAGTCAAATTACTATACATGCTCATGAACTTAAAGTAACAAAATCTTTTGTTATATATATATATATATATATATGTGTGTGTGTGTGTATGTATGTATGTACCTAGCTGAACGGATTGAATGTTGAGTGCAATTCGAAAACATGGAACTCGATGAGTTGATAAGGCAAAATGTACTAATATGACAATCAAAACAAGTTTGTGTAAAGCGAAGATGTTGAGAAATTTATTGGTATTCCATGTCACGACCCGTCACTTTTACAAATGTCAAAGTTAACAGGGGCCGGGAGTGTGCAAAATTTAATATCTTTATTATTATTATTCTCTTTGTCAAAATAAATTTTATTGATAAATTTGAGTACAAGAGGTACTCCGTAAGAAAAGCAATATATACAGTAGTAAATAAATATTATTGAGGTTAATTCTATGTACAAGTAAGATAATCCAATCACTAGTATCACATAGCATCCAATTTTTAAAAATGTTGAGAATGAAATCGAGGAGATATATGCAGTTAAATATACTCTTAGAATGCGTATTTTAAATCTTATTTTATAAGGGAATATATATATATATATAACACCAGATTCTTGTGAAAAAGACCTGGAAGTGATCATGAGTATACATTTGTTTGCACGTTCTTTTTCCCAAGCGTGCATGGCCTTTTTAATATGTAGAATATAACTTTTAGTTTCTGCACTTCCCAAAATAAAGCAAGGCCAATTTGAATATTACGTTATTTTTGCTGTGAACTCTTGCAAGAGACAACTCTTTCAATATGTCAAAAGTTTTAAAGAACAAAATTATGATCGATTATTTAAACTAGTATATTGTTCATAAAATGCCTAACTTGATAATGATGATGATGATGATAATAATAATAATAAAAAAAAGATCACGATGAGATCAGTAACCATTTTCTTTTTTTGTTCTTCCATACATAAACACGAGCTTGCAATTGCCCCTTTTTTAATGCTTTATACAGAATAAACGTTTTTGTTACAACAAATGGAGTTCAAATTGGAGACATATCTATAGGCTGGTCTAAATCAAGATAAGAGTTTGTATATCTTTTTCAAAATAAAAAGAAGTCAAAATTTAACAACCAAATTGTGATGTTACCAGGATGAGAAAGCACAAACAAACAACGTAATATGGAACAAAACTTTAGTGCCTGTGGTTGGTAATATGTGAGGACGTAAACATCAATGCGTAAGGATATTGCTATGTGGAGCTTTTGATGAGAGAAGTGGGGACCTTCTAATTTTGTAAAGCATTTGATCTCAAACCCTTATCACTTACGTGAAATTGACGATTGTCCTTCCATATATTCATTTAAAGATGGTAAAATGAGTTCAATATGACCAATTAATGCATTATAACGTTTATTATGGCAGGATGAATTAGGGTTCAGAGTTTATTGTCCCGATCTTAACCCAACTTACCTAATCCATCTTCTGAATGGGTTGGCGAATGTTGAACTTATTTAATAACTATTATATGATTTTAAAATTATTATGGTTAGTAATTAAATTTATCATGTTTGAATGTGAGACTTTCACATTTGACTTTATAATTTCTTTCGTTTCTAAACATTTTTGCCCCTTTTTTATTGATTAATATATTTTAAGAAATTAAAAAAAAGAACATGTCGCCCATCCATCCTAACGAAGACGGTATTATTTTTAACCCATTTTCTAAAATGATAGTGTTGAAACGATCATTAATGATAGATCAGGTCCAATTTGTTTGTTTTACCATTCCTAATTCATCTTGCCATCAACTAGAATTATATATTGTCATTCATCAATATTGTTTCGACAACTTTAGTGTACGAAATTAAGATGACTAAACTCTTTTTTTAGTCTTTAATAAAATAGTAAGCATTAAATATTTTAGTTTTTAAAATTTTAAAAATATCACGTTAATCTTTAATTTTATCTATGTTCATCATTTTTGTCATTTAAGTTACACATTATCAATATATAATAATGGAATGTTAACATGTTATCTTAAATATCACATCAACCACATGGTAAAAACGATGTTATTTTACATCAACATCACTTCTTTTATGGCAATACTTCTATCATGGGTGGAGGCCAACACATGAGATCGCACCACTTTGCTGCCAACAATACTAAAGTCTCAATTTCCCATTCCATGTTGTATTCTCCTTTTAGAAATTGTGGAAGAGAAAGAAAAAGATAAGGAGAGGAAATGAGGGTAGTGAATGGAGAGATGGTGGGGGTTCAAAAAAGGGATTGTAAGTGATGAAGGTAAAGGTGAGAGCGAAGGAGAAGAAGTTGATGTTGGTGCAAGCGATGGTGTTAGGTTTTTATCATCGATGATAGGAATGGTTTTGATTTGGGTGGTGGTGGAGTTGTTGTCGGTGACTATGTAGGTGCTCTTCCTTAGACTTATGTTATACACTTTGATTTTTAAAGTTTTTGAAACTCCAAGCTTCATCATTAACAACCTTTGTCATCTTCTTCTCCTTTACCCTTACCTTCACCTCCTTCTTCCCTCCACCTAAGCTTACATTTAGACTCATCAAAGGTGATTGCTTACACTTAACTTTTTCCATTCTATCAGAGTTTCTAATATTGATATGGTTAAAAATTTTAATTGGTAATTATGTTTTTTTATGGAGAAGCTTGGAAAAGTGCCAAACAAAGAATACAAATGTTGAATGTGGCTGCCAATGGTAGTTAAGAGTGATGGTAAAAATAAAGAAGAAGAAAGATAGGTAGACAAAATGTTTAAGAAGCAATGAGTAAAATAGTTAACAGATAACAATTTTAGGGTCTAAAATGTCTAACAATAACAATTTCAAAGATTAAAATAAAATAAAAACACATATCACAACACATATGACATTATTTTTATCATGTTATTTAATGTGACATGTTATTATGTCATTATTGTATACTACGGTGTATAACTCAAAAGACTAAAATGATAAACAAAACTAAAAATAAATAATTAACATGACATTTTGAAATTTTCAATAATGAAAATGTTCAACGTTTACTATCTTAAAAACTAA